AGTTGCCACTGAGGGCTCCTTGCCCATACCCTGGCTTACAGAGGAAGCCGTGTGGGTTCCTCAGTGGCCCCTATCCTCTGAAAAATTAGAAGCTGCTACAAGGCTGATTGAGGAACAGGCACAGCTTGGTCATTTAGAACCTTCTACTTCTCCTTGGAATACCCATATCTTCGTTATAAAAAAGAAATCAGGAAAATGGAGACTTCTCCATGATCTAAGGGCCATTAATAAACAGATGCAGCTGTTTGGCTCAGTACAACGAGGGCTGCCTCTGCTCTCTGCTTTACCTAAGCAGTGGAGGATAATAATTATAGACATTAGGGATTGCTTTTTCTCCATTCCCCTACACCCGCAAGATAGGCAAAGATTCGCGTTCACCTTACCTGCTGTTAATCACCTTGAGCCAGATAAAAGATATCAGTGGACAGTTTTGCCTCAAGGCATGGCAAATAGTCCTACTATGTGTCAGCTGTATGTACAAATGGCCCTTGAACCTGTTAAGAAACAATTTACTTCTCTACTCTTGATTCATTTTATGGACGATATTTTAATATGCCATAAAGAGTTGACCATTTTGCAGAACTCATATCCTTTATTAATTGCTACATTAAGACAGTGGGGTCTGCATATTGCCACAGAGAAGGTTCAAATTTCAGAAATTGGTTCCTTTTTAGGGACAGTTATTTACCCTGAGAAAATAGTTCCTCAAAAATTAGAAATTCGCAGAGATCATTTACATACCTTAAATGATTTTCAAAAGTTATTAGGTGATATAAATTGGTTAAGACCATTTTTGAAAATTCCCTCTGCTGAATTAAAACCTTTGTTTGACATTCTGGAAGGAGATTCCCATATTTCCTCACCAAGAGCGTTAACACCGGCTGCAAACCATGCCCTGTGATTGGTGGAGGATGCCTTGCAGGAAGCTCAGCTAAAACGCATTGATGAGACCAAAACTTTTAATCTGTGTGTCTTTAAAACCAGATGTTTACCAACTGCCGTATTATGGCAAGATGGACCCTTATTATGGATTCATCCTAATGCCTCTCCTGCAAAGATTATTGAATGGTATCCAGATGCGGTTGCTCAGCTTGCCTTACGGGGATTAAAAGCAGCTGTCACTCATTTTGGAAGGGAGCCTAAAGTTTTAATAGTGCCTTATACTGCATATCAAGTTCAAATATTATCTGCTACCTCTGATGTTTGGGCCGTGTTGGTCACCTCCTTTAATGGCCAAATAGACAATCACTACCCTAAACATCCCATTTTACAGTTTGCCTTAACTCAAGCTATTGTATTTCCACAGGTTTTATCTCAAAAGCCGCTCCCAGATGGAGTGGTTGTTTACACAGATGGGTCAAAGACAGGTGTGGGTGCTTATGTAATTGATAATAAGGTCACTGCCAAACAATATCATGAGACCTCACCTCAAGTTGTGGAATGTTTGGTAGTCCTGGAGGTTCTTGAAACCTTTCCAGGCCCTTTAAATATTGTTTCAGATTCCTTTTATGTAGTAAATACAGTTAAAGCCTTAGAAGTGGCAGGGCTAATTAGACCATCTAGTAGACTCGTAAAAGTTTTTCAAAAGATTCGATTCGCCTTAATTAATAGGAGATTCCCAGTTTTTATTACACATATCAGGGCTCACTCAGGTCTACCAGGCCCAATGTCTCATGGGAATGACCTAGCGGATCGAGCCACAAAATTGGTTGCTATTGCCTTATCTTCCAAATTAGATTTGGCCAAGGATTTTCATAAAAACTTTCATGTGACAGCAGAGACGCTACGTCGTCGGTTTGAGATAACTAGAAAGGAAGCTAGAGATATAGTTACTCAATGTCAGAATTGCTGTCAATTTTTACCAGTGCCTCATGTAGGAATTAATCCACGAGGAATTCGGCCACTACAGATTTGGCAAATGGATGTTACTCACATCCCAACCTTTGGCAAATTACGATATTTACATGTTTCCATTGACACTTATTCTGGAATTATATTTGCTTCTCCGTTGACCGGAGAAAAGGCAGCACATGTTATTCAACACTGCCTTGAGGCATGGAGTGCCTGGGGGAAGCCTAGAATTCTTAAGACGGACAATGGGCCATCGTACACTTCTCAAAAGTTTAGACAGTTTTGTCGCCAAATGGAGGTAACCCATCTGACAGGCCTCCCTTATAACCCTCAAGGACAAGGCATCATAAAACGGGCTCATCGCACTCTTAAGTCTTATCTAATAAAACAAAAGGGAGGAGTCGAGGAGACCCTACCCTCAGTGCCACGAGTCATCGTTTCTATAGCACTCTTTACCCTCAATATTCTAAACCTGGACAGTCAGGGCCACTCAGCTGCTGACTGTCACTGTTTAGAGCCTGAGAGGCCGAAAGAGATGGTGAAATGGAAGGATATTTTGACCGGACAATGGAAGGGCCCAGATATTGTTTTATTAAGAGCCAGGGGAGCGGTCTGTGTGTTTCCACAGGAAGAAGACAATCCGTTTTGGCTACCAGAGCGGCTGACGAGGCGACTCGCGATACTGGAAGGTGACACCCAGACAGACCCTCCAGGCTCTGATGATAGCCCTTGTACTGATCCAAGGGATACAGGTTCCTAGTATTTTTGTTTATTTTATCAAATTCCACCTTTAAGAATTGTACCAATAAAACCTGCTGGATGTCCCAGTGTTGGAATTCTAAATATTCACTCGCACTATGGTTGCCAGAGTCACGCGATGGGTTCCCATCCCCATGGAGACTCATTCCACTTTGTCATTATTTAGACAAAAAAGAGATTTGGTATAACTGCAGCCATAGTGACGACGATATTAATTAGTGCCGTTATCGCCACTACCACTGAGATTGCTATGTCAACTTCTGTTCAGGTGGGCACTACCCCCAATTGTCAGCCACGGTGGCAGAGACTGTTAACCTTCAAACCTCCACCAGTACCCTACTAAAAGGCAGGCTAATCATCCTTAATCAACGCCTTGATTTAGTGAGAGAGAGATTAGATATCCTCTTTCAACTAGCCCAATTGAGATGTGAGAGAAAACTGGGTACACTTTACATCACTAGTGTACAGTATAAAAACTTTACTCGTGTAACTAATCTGTCCAGAAAATTGTTTCAGTATCTTACAGGAAACTGCTCAGAAAACTTCAGTGAGACACTCAGAAATTTGAGAGCAGCTGTGGTGAACATCAACTCGACGCGCGTGGATCTGTCCCTGACTGAGGGACTGTCCTCCCAGAATTCTTCAGCCTTCTTCCTTTCTTTTCCCTTTCCCCCCCCTTTTTTTTTTTTTAAGTGGGTGGGAGTAGGCCTGTTTAGTTTACCCTAAGTTGTGGTTTAGTATTCATCCTTTGATTGGTTTGCGAACTCATAACTCAACAGAATCTTGGCAAGGCTATTATTGGCCAGGCGTTTGTGACCAAAGTACTAGGGGCTTTCCCTGCAGTGTAGCTTTCACTGCTTCGAAAATGAGCAGTCCTCCCCTTGCGAGTGGTGGTGCTAAATGTTAGGCCATCAGCGTTGCACCCCAGAGATTTGCCCTTTACACTGGGTCAGTGAGGAGTCTTGGCCTGGCTGATTCTTGTCTGTATAGCTGTGGTACCTGAATTTTGAGACAAACAGCCCTTGCACCCCTAGGAGATGACTCCATTGCACAGGGATGGGTGTTTGCATCTCTTTCTGTTCCCCTTAGCCCTTGCACCCAGAGGACTTGTGTTTCCATTGCACCTGGTAGGGTAAGGGAGACGGTCTTAAACTGTTGGTTCTTTGATCGCTTATTCCCCCAAGATGGAATTTGCTTGATCAGGCCTTGGGTTTGAGTCATAACTGGTACCATACTAGACAGGCTAAGGGCAGTCAGTTAGATAACTCCATCCTTTTGTCTCCAGGCCGGCTGTCAATTGATCCCAACGACGGGAATAAGCTGATCTCATATGCCAGAGGTATACCACGAATGGTGATATTACCCGGTGACAGGCATTACGAGTGGCCACAACCTGGAGCGCACATTCTGAGAATGCCAGGTGTGGGTGCGCGACCCTCGTAGCCTAGCCAGAGAGCTCACCATTCTTTGGTGCTGGCTGTGAAGAAATGTCAGTCAGCCTAGACACGGGACATTGGCCAGTGCCTGTTTGACAAATCTAAAAGGAAATAGCCAGTAGACAGATTCCTCAGCCGCTGCACCCTAGGGCTTCTGGTATATGCACCCTGTAAAGCCTCAAACATTTGAACACCACCCTCTATTTTTTAAAACAAAAAAAAGGGGCAGATGTTGGGAGCCGCGACGAGAGCTGACAAAGTCCGCCATCGCTAGGTGGCGCTGTCGCCCGTAATTCTTCCTTGTACCAAGTAAACTGCGCATGTGCCATGGTAAGCCCGCCAAAGCTAAGCCCATCCCACGGCGTTTGGCGCGCTACGAGTAAGCAGCCAATCAGGGGGTGAATACCCCGCTCTGGGGTATATAAGCAGTGCTTTCCCACGCCTTCTTGGTCTTCTTGGTTTTCTTCTACCACCATTTTGGTTTAGGGAAATAAAAGTGTTTCTACGGAAGGATTCTAGTGTGTGTGTGTGTGTTCGTGTGTGTGTATGGTTTCGCCGGCGAGACTACATGCGCGCGCCCCGCACACTTCCAAATAAATAAAAATCATATTTTATATTAAACTTTCAGGTGTGACAGAATAGTTTCTTTCACAGTAATTGCTTTCATATTGTAAGTATATATTTTAATGTCAAACAACATAGACATTTTCTAGATTGTTGATCATGTTTTACTGTGTGTTGATAAGATTTGTACTACAATGCTTTATTTTAACAACTTTGCAAGTTTTCTCTGTGTGTATGTATGTGTGTGCACGCACATGTGTATTTGTGTGTCTCGGTGTGTAGTTATCGGGTAGGTAATTCTAGGATAAAGATTAGAACATTAGAAATGATTTAGATGTAAAAAAACAACAAATTAAATTTTACTCTTTATGGTTTCTTTGTTTATTCAACCTATTCAGTCTCGCTATCTGATTTTCCTGAATGATATCCCATTGCTTTACGACGGAACCGGATCCTTTCTGCTTCATTTTCAGGATCCTCACATTCAGCTCTTGGTCGAGTTTTGCGAAGTTTAATCCCTTTTCTTATTGCTTCCATCAATGATTTTCTTGCTTTGGTCATTATTGGCAGGATTGAAGGGTGTTGCATGATAGCGGCATATGCTGACCCTATTGGATAGTGCCTTATTCCTAGAACTCTATGGCTTGAAATAGATCTCATAGAAGACAATGATGAGTGTAGACTGGAAACTCTTGTTGAGGTGAAACTTGATAGTTTTGCTTGTGGTGGATGTAAATGTCTTTTTGAATATGTCACGGGTAATCTTGCCTGAGCATCAATAAGTTTTGTTAATTGACTCACAGAACGCTTTGGTAATGGATTTAAAGATATTTGTGGTTTGGGACTCAGTGAGGCAGGTACTGAAAAAGAATAATGAGGTACCCTGTAAGATCTTGGTAATTGGGCACTAAAAGTCCTCGATGTATTTGCAACTGGACTTTGTAGTAGTGATCCATGTACAGATTTTGATTTTGATGAAAATCTTGGTAACTTTGGAAAAGACGACTTTATGGGTTGTGCTTTCACAACTAAAGAAGAGTCAATAAGATCCACAACTGAATCCCATGAGTTATTTCTTACTGGAATTACTGAAGGATATAAAAGTAGAGGGATCTTCTGATCCAGATTCTGTGGATTTAGATCATCTCGTTTATGTAGTTCATAACATTCAAGTGATTCTGATGCTGCAGTGAACTTAACTTCAGGTGACATTGTTAGATCTTTGTGAGGATTGCTCTTCAAGCAAGCAGATGGCAATTTTGTAGTTCTTCCCAAAACAAACAAGGAAGATGTTCCTCTTGATCTTATTGAGCTTAGACCTCTACGAGAAGATGGTCTTTTAGAACTGAGAAGTTGGGTGAGCCAATCAGATGGCAATGGTGGTTCTTCTGGTGCCAGTGGGTTGACAAACACATTGGATTTATAGTGACTCAAATCTGGTCGTCGTCGGCTAAGCATGACATCCCCCTTACCAGTTCCATAAAGGACACGAGGATGTGAATTGCTCATGTGCTCAATACTGTAGTGGAGCTTTTCTTGCTCACCAGGTAAGATGTTCAATGCAGATCTTCCTTGATACTTGTTTCTATTTGCTGGGAAAATATACAAGGAAGATCCACCATCATATTGATCTAAGTATGAATGAAATTCCTCACTACCACAGGTTGGAATGTGATCCACATGGATATGGTTTTTCAAGAGTTGACATTGTAGCACATTTTTGGAATCACCAGCATGGTTGATATTTTGGTTTAGTATGTGTTTCCTCTCACTTTTATGTCCTTTATTAATAGATATACAATTTTTTAAAAGTTTTGAACAATATAAGCATGGGTAAAAGGGACCATTGGAAGAACTTGAGTCTTCCAAGTCATTTTGGTAATACTTGGGCACTGTAAGAAGTGGTATTGGTATCTTACCATTGTTTCTTTCAAAGATTTTAATGGGTAATGATGTATATGAGTATACTTGCTGTGTTTCAATAGTTTCCTTTGAAAAAGTCTTTCTCGATTTCCAAAGTTGCATAGATAACATGTCATTTGAAATTTTGGGAATAACATTAGCTAACTGAATTATATTTTCTTGTAAAATCTTAAGTTTAAAAGAGAGCTCATGAATCTCTTTATCAAATTTTCCAAGCATGCCTTCAGTAAACCTACCTAGATCATTTAATTGTCTCATTATTTTGCAAAATGATGCCAGAATTATATATATGAACTCATCTTTAATTTCAGTAGTTGTCCCTGATTCATTTAGATATTGTTTCAAAATTTCTTCATTAAAAGACATGCTAGATTTACATTAGTAAATTGTAGAAAATCACTTCTATGTCCCCGTTTTAAGAATCCACCACTCGCATCAGTCCATTCCAGGCTGTTAACTGCAATTTTAAGCTTTGTGAACATCTGACAATCACAAAGCCTTTCAAGATGGCACCAGCTTCTTGCCTTCAGGTAGTCAGCAGTTACAGGACAAGCAATCTATTACATCAGATTTCTTTCTTTGAATAGGCAATGAGACAACAATGTATTATTATATCATTGCCATGCTCCATCACTCCTCCCTTTGGCATGTATCCTCTTTTCTTTTACATCTTCCCTCTGGTCTCATCCTCAATCTATCCACTTCAAGCTGCCTGCCTTCTACCCCCTCCCTTATCTTCCCTGATTTCTTCCTCCCTCTGGCTACTTTCCTGACCCTTCTTCCCTCTTAACAGTGCTTATTCCCTCCTCCTCTTTTCTGCCTTCCTTTGACCTCTGCCCCTATTCCTGTGTCCCTAACTCCCTCTATTCTTCTCCTAATCTTCCTGATTCCACTCTGTTCTCCTCCATTTCCACAATCTCTGGTACCTCTTCCTCCTGTTCTACCCCCTCAAGCCTTTACTGCAGTTCTAACTTTCCTCCTCCTCCTCCTTCAGCCCTGTTCGTTTTCTCTTCACTCTGTTAACTCCTTTGTTCTTCACTCTTATCTCCTCCATTCTCCATCTTCTCTACATCCTCTGCCACTGCCCCTTTCCCTCCTACCTGTGATTCGTTCCCCCATTAGCTTTCTTCCTTCTGTCCTCTGCTTTCTCTACCTCTGGACTGATATCAAGGGATTCTCATGCTGTCACTGCCCTACTGCCTCTGCCCATCTTATTTATGACATCACATTCTACTTGCTGCATTCCTCTCTCTGCCCTCATCCATCCTCTCCTCCCTGGGCCTTCCTCTTCCATTTGGTCTCCTCTCTCTTCTCTCTTTGTTCCTTGCACTTCACTCCTCCTTTTGATGTCCACCTCTCTTCAGTCTATTTCCTATCCCTCTGGCCTCTTCTGATTTCTTCCTTCTAATTACCTCTCTCTCTAATATTTTTCCTTCTACCAGCTCCTTCACTTGTTTCCTCTGATTTCCTCTTCCTTTTGTCTTCCTCTACCTGTTTTCAGTCTTCCAGTTCATTTATCTCTCTGCTCTCTTGTCCTACACTCCTTCCTTTCTTCCCTGTAATTTCACTTCCCTTCTAGACACTTCTTTTTCCCCCTTTCCCACAAGTCATCTGTGCCTTCTTCCCTATGCTTGATCCTCATCCATGGTCTTTTTTCTTTCTTCTCTTTGCTCTACTCTCTTCTTCCTCTGATGTTTTCCTTTATCTGTCTTCTCTCTACCTTGTAATGCCTTCTTCTCTGCACTTCCTAATGTTTCCTCCTACTCTCCTCCCTCAGCCCTCCTTACTCTGCTGACTTCTCTCCTCTGTCTCTAGACTACCTCTAACTCCTACTCCTTAAATTCTGCTTCTCTGTCCTCCCTCTTCTCTCTGCACACTGCACCCTTCTTTTCTCCTCCCTCTGATATTCTTACCTCTTCCCTCACCCTGACATCCTCTGCCCCTCCTATCTCTACTCTCAGCCCTCCTCTGTTTTCTCCTCCTACTCTGACTCTACTCCCTTGACTAGGTTACCCCCTTTCTCCTCTCTCCTACTCCATTTCCCTATTCCCTCAGCCCTAATTTACTTCTTCCCTCTGATATCATCCTTCTTCTCTCCTGATCTCCTCCCTCTTATTGCTCCCCTATCTACCTTGCCCTCCTCATCACTCTGCCCTCTCCTCTCATTGCAGCCCTCCTCTCTTCTGATCCACTAGCACTGCCCTGTTCTCTGCCCTTCCCCTCCTCTTTCCTCTCCTCCTTCTGTTCTTGTTCTGCCTTCTTTCCTCTGCCTTCTATTTCTCTTTCCTCTCTCTGGTCTATTCTTTCCTCTACCTTCTCCTTTCTTTTATCTTCTGCTCCCCTTACTTACCTTTTCTTTCTTTGCTCTTCCATCCACTCTCTGTCATCCTATCCCCTCTTCTCCTTGTGCTAGCTTTCTTTCATTTGCTCTCTTCTGGGTTCTCTGTCCTTCTCCCTCTGCTCATTCTCTAATTCAGCCTTCTTCCCTCTGCCCTTAGGCCACCTCTCTCTAATCCTCCCTCTCTGATGTACTCCTCCTTCCCTTCTTCCCTCAGCTCTCTGCCTTGTACTCTTCTTTATTTCTTCCTCTCTCTATTCTACATCCTGTCCCTGTCTCCCTCTTTATCTCTCTCTCTAATTCCCCCACCTGGACCCCTACCACCTTCTTTTGAGTTATATTAGGGATTGGCAACTTGAGCAAAGTGAAGTCCAAAGATGGATCAATACAGGAATCCGAGGAGTGCTCACATTACATTTCTTAGTATTGGCTATTATAAAACTTCTCAATGACTGTTTTAAGACTTGCTCAAGAAAATATTTTTGGCCATGTCAGGCCTATCAAGCACGCATGGATTGAACTCCTATTGCCACTCTTTCATGTGTACTTGTATATACTTCCTATATTTGAGTTAGTATGACATTATTTGAGTAACAAAGCAAAGTCTGGAACCACTGCTGTAGGGCAGAGATAAAACTGTAGATAATCTTGGGGAAAATACTTTAAAGCCCATTACTGTCTATGCCAGGTTAATGTCAATGATGCTGGAATTCAGTTGGTAAAGAATATTAAAGTATTAGGATTATCTAAAAGATAAAAAATACCACATCACTTTCATCAATCAGGAGAAGAATGCTAGTTCAGCTGCATAGATAGGTGATATTATTTATCATGCTATAATTTAGTCTCATTTTGTATGAACTATCTTGTTTCCTTACTTCCTATGAGGTCACTCAACTCCTCAGCTTTTTCCAGCCTTTTCCTAATTCAAACATAGGGGTCCCTGGCTTCAGTCCATTGGCTAGGTGTTAATATCTGCCTATGTCTTAGTCAGCTGTTGGTAGAGTCTCTCAGAGGACAACCATGCTAGGCTCCTCTCTTCAAGCACAATGTAGAATCAGCATAGTGTCAGGGTTTTGTACTTGTGCATGGGGTTAATCCCAGATTTGGATGGTCACCAGATTTCCTTTCATTCAGTCTCTGCTCCAAGTACGTTCCTGAACTTCCTTTAGATGGGAGCAAGTCTGGGTCAATAATTTTGAAGATGGGTGGATGGCCTCATCTCTCCACTGGGGGCCCTGTATATCTACTTGGAGGTGATCTCTTCAGGTTCCATCTCCACCATTAGGTGTTTTGGATAAGGTCATTCCCATTGAGTCCTGGGAGCCTCTTACATCTCAGGTCTCCTGGACTTCCTAGAGGTTCCCATCCACCTTCAACCTCTTTGTTTTGCTTCTTAATATATATATATATATATATATATATATATATATATTGCCATAGAGCAATATAATAAACTTACCAACTTGTCAAAAGTAAATTAAATCAAACTATACTTGTGACAGAATGAAGCTGAGATCACCTGTCCACACACTGCTAAAGTACAAGATTTTTATCTGCTCTAGATCTTAGGTAGAGTTTATTGCCTCTTGTATTTCAAGATGTTCTGTCACATAGTTTTCCCCTTGATTTCACATGACTCTAAAAGGTACATGATGCAATATTCCAGAGAGAGCTGGCCAAGATAACAAAACTTCTCAATGTCCTTGAAGAGCAAACAAGATAAATGGGAGTGAAAATACACAAAGAGCCCCAAATTGTTATATGTTAACCCTGAAAGTACAGTTTAGGATAAAATGGATATGTGATCATCTAAAACGCTAGATAGTAAATGTTTAATTTTCCATTAAGATCATGGGACAAAGTGAGACTTCAGTGGTATGGACTGCATTGGAAACTCAACCTTTTTTCCAAAGACAGCTTGGCCAAGCTCTGTACAATACTGCACACTACTGCATTTGCAATTGTCCGTTAGGGTTCTACATAGAACACCACCCACATGCCCCTTTCAGAGGCAGAATATTCCTAAAACTCATACTTTCCCAAATAAGATCAATGTTAATACCACCATCACCATGAGGAATCATGGGATTTCTTTCTTCTCTGCATTAGACATCAGGTTTGGAAGTGTTGTCTTTGATCTTGATTTCATTACACTCTTTACTTTCTTTGTTTTTCCTATGGAGTCCAAGTCTTTAGGTGTCACGTGAAACCTCTCACTACAGAGTACTTTCCTTTTGCTAAGTCTAAGGCATATGAACTCATAGGAATAGTGCTCCTACTTGTCCTCTCATTTATATAATTTTCCTCCAAAGGTCAGTGACTAGCACAAAGGATTCAAATCAAAAATCTCTTTTCAAAGCTAGCTTCTTTAAGTGAACAATTTTCCTCTAGAGAACAGCTCAGTTTTGTTGCATGTCTTCCTTCACAGAGCAGTCCATGGTAGTCAATGATATAGCTTTCGGCCAGTCCCACATTATACAGACTGATTTAAGAGATTATAGATTGTTTTATTGTCCATTAAACATTTTTGAAGCATCTCCATGTTTATATGGAAGACAATATTCATTTTTGAGGTATGCACTCCATACTATGTAGAAGATGATAGCTACCTGGGATTTCCTCCATGGACCCTACCTCTGACTCATTCTTTTTCTTTTCTTATTTGTGAGCTCCATAGTACCGGAATCATTATCAACTGCTTTGGTTAGCTTGATATGTAATTTTTGAGGATATATAAAATTAATATATGTCCCTAAACAGAAATGGCCTCAGCATTGTGCCAGAATAACTTATACAATTTCACTTAATGAATTCTACTAGTTTATTGGTGGTTAATTACACTAGAAGACAAGAGACAGTTACAATTTTTCAAAATTGTCAAATACCACATTCCAAGCATTTTCAAATTCTACTTCAAAAACATTTCATTTTAAAGTATTTAGTAATTCTTTCAAGTTTCTATTTTACATGATGCTAAGAGCATAACAAAATTATTTCAATCCTGAGTTCAGAGCACTACCTAGTG